AAAGAGAGAAAGAGAGAAAGAGAGAGAGAGACGGAGGAGAAAGAAAGAGAGGGAGACCGCGGGGATATGCGCGTTTATTCGGGCCGATACTTTGGGGGGGCAATGAAAATGCGCAGGGCACACGCAAAAGAGAGGCTACACCTCCGGGTAGCCGGGTAGCGGAGCAGCTCACGACGACTGCTCGGTAACGCGGAGCCGATGGAGCAGGCCCAGTGAAAATCGCGAGTTGCGTACGCACCTTGGTGTGTTCCCGCGGAGTGGATTCAAGGGAGGGCTTAGGTCTCTTTGCGTCTGCGGGGAGGCGACCTGGCGACCGCCTCGGCTACGCTCTCGCACCACGCCCCGCGCACGCGGTCGCGCCCGCGCTTATCATCACCGTCACCGTGGCCGGTCCTGCGTCGGCGAACGCGAGGCCACTTGCCGACTTGCCTTTACCTCAGGACGCGTGACGCGCGACGACGACAACGGTAGCCGCCATGGCCGGTATTCGGCGGCGGGCGTATCGATCGGCACCGAGTGGGCCTCCATCACCACCACCACAACAAAACGCGGACACGGTACCGGCCATCTTGGGCGAGTCTGCGCGATGCAGGCCCACCCGAGCAGACGATGCGAAATTGCATGGATTTCGCAGACGGCGAGGACGTCGCGCGCACCCGATCTCGATCGCCGATCATCCGCGTGCCAACTTTCCAAGCCTACCGCGCCAGCACTCACCGTTTCCCCGTTGAAATCCACCGAACGACAGCAGCGATCCAGGAGAACGCCAACGCCATGTACATATATACAAGCTTACGCGCCGCGCCACGGCACGACATAATGTAATCGTAATGTCGCTTGTCGGAGGACGACTATAACCTATCTGTTCTCGTATAACGCATTGATATTCTTCTTCTTGACTACGACACCTTTCTCCCGCGACCTTCCTGAGATCTCTGGCTAGTTGGCTACATTCGGCGTCGCTCGTCTCGTTCCTCGACGATTGTTTCCGCCGCTTGAAAATACACCTTGTAAATGTCAGTGTCACGTTCGTTTACATACGCACTATTTTCTATCTACTTAACATATTTTTGTATTATCTCACATTGAAAAGGGATTTTGTAACTTTGACTATTTGCCGTGCAAGTGCACCTAGTTTTGAGCTATAAGCTAAGGACTCTGATTATTTCATCAATAATTTATTAAGTGGAAATCTGTATCATATAATATAATTATATTATATAATTATATTATATAATTTAATATATACTATATTAAATAATAGAATTAATTTTTTTTAATAATAAATTGGAGCACATAAACATGGTGCTTTCTAGTAAGCGTAACACAATGATCATAACATCTTTGTTTAACATTGTTAAATAACAAGTTATAATTTTTTTTCTTAAAAAGTCATTAATTACTTTTTAAGACTGTTATAAGTTACTAATTCTAAACAGTTACAGTTATTGTAGGAAGTAACGAGTAGTTATTTTTTTCTGTTAATCTTTGTAATTATTTGCATTTCTATTTTAAATACAGAAATTTTATGTTTTTGATATTACTAAATTATTTTATAAAGAAAGATATGCTCGTGTATGTAAATCAACGTGAGCAGGTAAAGACCAAGAAACCAGCTAAAGAAATAATACAAGATGTTTTTAAATTAATAAATATTAATAATAAGGGTTTACTGTATGTCAGAAAATCGAAATGGTATGTCTCGACCGAATCTTCATTCATAAATTTTTCTTATTATATTAAGTATTCGGTCATATATTATATTTGTTATAACATACAAAATTAATACACTTAGAAACCAAAGTTATGGGATTAATGTTAAAATATCCTCACACTAAAAGACCTTCAGCTTAATTATTAATATAGTTATTTACAATGTATGATGATTATCGAGGATAATCAAATATAAAAAATAGTTACAAATTTGTTCACTGAGCATTCACTTTATTTTGGTCAGCCAATATGTTGACGAATAGTTTAAAATATTTAAAAAGTATTACAGTTACAGTTACAGTTACAAAAAAAAAAATGTAACTACTTAAATGTTCAAAAATATTATCTTATCTTAAATTGTAGTTTTTTTCAATAATTAGCAAAACTAATTATAAAAAGATATATACATTGTTTTATAAAAGAGCTTATTCTTGTGGGAAAATACTCTACAATTACATATATTTTCTTATATAATTTAAATTGTAATAAAGAATAATGATTCTTGATTCATATATATTCTTTGCTTTTAATTAATTAAAAACACAAATTTGTTTATATAATTTAAATTATACATACTCTCTGTTTTAATTAATTTAAATTATTGCAGAATCACATAAGTTCCCCTTTAAAACATTGCATGTCTTTTTATAATTAATTTTGTTAATTACCGAATAAAAAACTGTGATTTTTAATAGATAGTACTTCTGAATATTTACTGGGTCTTTGCTAATTTTCGTAAAATTTCCATTTTTAATATATTATATTCATCAATTTAGTAAAGCGAAAAATTTGGGTAATAACTATGAATGTATTTAATCAACATAAAATTGATATTTAAAATTTTAAACATATGCAGTACAATTGTTGAATTTTTCCCACAAAAACAATAAGCTTTTCTCTTAAAATACTGTATACATGTTTTTTATGACTAATTTTGTGAATCACTGAAAATACCGCGATTTTTGATGGGGGGTAATACTTCCGTACATTTATCAAAATAATTAACTATAAATTATTTATTAACAAGTTAAATTAGATTCTCAACCCTGCAAATAAATAATATTTATTTAACTGAAAAATGTATTTAAAATTTACATAGAAATATTATTAAGCAAAATCCAGTTTAGATCGTATTTGATGCTTCTTTTTTGTATTTTTTTATTTAATGTTTCTTTGACATTATATCTGATGTGATGCAAAGCTGCATACATTCGATAATAAATATTTCCTGGAATTCATGTAGAAATTTGCTAAATATGTTACTGCTTTCATTCTGCAAATAAGCGCATTATTTGTTAAGGACATATTACACATATTTTTTGACAAAATGAAAAAATGAAAAAATTTTCCTGTATTGTATTTAATGCATTTGAAAGTAAAACAGTTGGGCGACAATTTAGAACTTAAAACAAAAATTATTTCATTAAGTAGTTAATATATTTTTAAATAATAATAAGATGAAATGAAAAAAAAATTTATTTAAGCTATAAAATTGTATTGTTAAATATAAAAATTTACATTATTAAACTGTTTTATATATGTATAACATTTATTTTTATGCAGAAAACATAATTTTCAATTCCAATCACTTTTTGTAGAGATCTGATACTTCCTTAACTTTCCATGATGTTCTTGGCTTTCTATTCTTTTACTTTTAATCCTTATTGCTTGTAATGTATGAAATATCCATATCAAATAATCTTTGTTATTAAAATTGTTTAAAAAATATATCATCAATAATTTCGTAAATGATTAAATTAAAATTTTTTACTACATTTATATAAATTAAAAATTCTTTCGAGATTAGACCTCTATCATTTTTTTAATATTTTATATTCAAGTGTTAAAACTTATTTGGATCATTTCAAAATTCATATTCTTTTCACAATTTATAATATAAAACTACATTTATTTATCTATATTCTAAGATGTACAGAAAAAGATAGTATAGGAGAAGAAGTCCATCACAGGCACACTACTACAATGCTGAATTATTATCATAATTATGCTTTCTAAACCATTACAGAAAATACATTTTGTTCCTATTTTGTTTTTACAATTGTTACATCTACAGTATAAAAGTAGTATTAACTAAATAATAATATTGTAAAATGACATAAAGCAGTTCTTTACATATCACATCTGAGGCAGAGTAAATTGGAAAAACTATGAATTTCACATCACACTAGTTACAATCGAGATTTGGATCTAAATCTTGTGAAAGCTTTAATGCTTTTCTTTTCACAAATAAAAACAAGAATACACTACAAATTTCTTTGAATCATTTTAATATCACGAGATTCTTTCTCTACGAACGCATAGACCTTTGTTTCTCCGTACAATTCAGGATATATATGTAAACACAATCTGCCGTAAATTCTATCTAGTGATTTTAGAATAACATCGCTTTCTAAAAGATTCAGTTGGTATGAATAATAATAACGTTGAAGATTTTCCATTAGTCTCTAAGCCCATGGCTTGCTTTTGTGACAAAACTTTCCGTACCAGCCAGCTTCACAGAGACATGTGTCATTTGATTGACAGGTTCCATGTTTACACGGCTTGCTACATGTTGAACGTTGTGACGTTATATGTGTGGTTGCAATTTCGCAGTGATTGCCTTTATATTCGTTTGAACATCTGCAGATGTTAGTACCCTTGCATTTGCCTCCATTGAGACAAGGAATAACGCATTTGGCTGAAAAAATAAAAAATTGTTTAACATAATAAAAATTTTCTAAATTTTATACGATTTTGAAATGTTTTTTGAGATTCCGTTATTTGTACTCACAAAATTCACAGCGCAAACCGAAATAGCCTTTTGGACATTCACAGATATCCTTTTGAATACACTTTCCTCCGTTCAAACATTTTTCTGTGCAGATACCTGTGCAGAAATTGTTTGGCATAGTTAATCTTCATAAGTAGTGATAGAAATCTAACTTGAAAATTTTATATAGAAAAATGTTGCGTATCAGAGGAGTGGATATACGACTGGCTAGTACATTAGCTGCCAGGAGTTCGTTTGGAAAAGAACTAGACTCCATAATAAGAGTCGATCATGCCGGCGAATTGGGAGCTGACAGAATATACGCCGGACAAATGGCCATACTAGGTATAGTTGCTCGATTTCGTAATGTATGGTTGTAGATATAGATTAGAATTCTAATGGTTTTTTGCGAAACCGTAGGCAGAACGACAGTCGGACCGACTATACAGCACATGTGGGATCAAGAGAAGCGACACCGCGCCAAATTCGAGGAATTGATTCGCAAGTACCGAGTCAGACCCACCGTCCTCATCCCGCTGTGGAATATTGCCGGGTTCGTTTTGGGTGCCGGTACTGCTCTCATGGGCGAGAAAGCAGCGATGGCGTGCACTGTGGCAGTGGAGACTGTGATCGTCGAGCATTACAACGATCAATTACGTACGTTGATGAAGAATGACGAAAATGTGGACAAAGAGATACTCGAAATCATCAAGAAATTCCGAGATGAAGAGCAGATGCATCATGATACAGGCATAGATCACGGCGCCGAGCAAGCACCGTTTTACCAAGTTCTAACAAATGTGATCAAATACGGCTGTAAAACCGCTATTTCGATTTCCAAAGTGATATGAACACATTTGCAAGTATTTGGGATTAAATGTAAAAAAACATAACAATTGTTACTTGTAATTATACTTTGAATTTATACTTTTTATTTATAAGGAATTAACCTAACAATATTCGAAATATTCCGAATTTAATAGAGCATTTTTTAATCACTAATTTTTTTATAAATTGCAATATTCTATGGAAATTTTATTTTTATGAAGTAATTAAAGGATGCAATTTAAATTAAGTAGAAATAAATAAAAACACTATCATGTAATCACTTTTCAAGTGAACCTTCATAAATTATGTAACATATGTACTAATTAAAATCGATTTGTATAAACAATATATGTATAAGGAAAAAAATTCCAAAAGAGATCCACTCGAAAGAAATAAAAATTTTTATTTTTTAATTAAATTTTTAATTATATTTTATTTAAGATAAACAACAAAATAAAGTTTACCATTAGTTTATTTCTTCACATAATCTATCAATAGATACAATTGAAACATTTGTTCCATTTTATGACATTTTAAGATATCTTTTGCACAGACATTTATATCTAAATTGCTGAAATAGTTTTACGTCTCGTTTTTCCACTTTTTGATCTGATATCAAATGTTTTCCCGATAATGGTAACTTTCTACGAAGATAGAAATCTAAAGGTGTGCGAGATTAGACAAATAGACGTACGTTTTTAGACGTAAAAGAACTACTTGTCAACTTTATTAATAAAAATGCTGGGTTTTATATCATTTAAAATATTTAAACTTTGCGAAAAGTTTGTGACAGACTATTCATCGAAAATCTGTTGTAATATTCATTCATACTTTTGTATGGCAATGCAGCTCTACACAGCTATAGGAAATCGAATACTATAAGAAAGCTTTTGTATCTATTGAAAAAATAAGAAATTCTGGAGCACGTACTTTATTCTCTGCCCTCGCTTTTTCATCTTTTTGGAGAGCTGTAAGAATATTCGAGAAATATTGTGTCTAGAGAATTAAGAAGTGAAACACAAAATTGACTCGGGAACTTGAATACAAATTTCTACGCAAAAATTTTCTTAAAATTAGACGTAAAATATACTTGGATAAACGCTCGAATCTATTGGAAGAAATAAGTTAATACTAAATTTAAAATTTACTTTGTCACACATATTTCGAAAATTAAAATAAAATTTAAAAAATTTTTATTATTTCTTTTAAGCGAATTCTACTTTTTTCCGTCGTATATTTATATAATTTATTATATAATTTATTTACCTCCTTCGCAATAAGGACCCTGATATCCTGGTGGGCATGAACACACGCCTGGTGCCGTACAGTTACCGCCATTCATGCAATTCGGATAACAAAGCGCTGTTTTACAATTAGGACCTAGATAACCATCTGGGCAGGGACCAGGATTAGGCTCTGCAAAAATAAAATCCAGTTAAAAAATAGAATAATATCGTAATGTCTGTAAATACGTTACACACATAAATATAAACACACACTTATTTAATAATTATCTTTGTACGATTAAAAACGATAAAATATTTTGGTAACAGAACCGAACACGATCTCGCAGTTCAGTAGAATATCGTTTGGAAAACATTCTAATTAATTTCAGGAAAGAGCGGCAAGTTCACTCGTGCCTGGCGCCCAACTATCTGTTATTCCAATAAGATATTCTTCTAACGCAATCTCATGCAAATTTAATCGTGCATTCCTTTTCAAAAACTTTGGGATTAATCATGAAATTGAATACAATATATTATATTTTTATCTCATTTTATGTCATAAAAAAGAGAATATGTTTTAGTCTATATAATGTAACATTTTTTAAATATTTAATATATATATATATATATATATATATATATATATATATATATATATATATATATATAT